TTTATCCACCACAGAAAGTTACTCTCTGCAGTTTCAGAGACATGTAACAAAATCTCTTAGATTATCTGTTGTTTTTAGTATTACCTAAGTCACAATCAGATATGATATTAGTGTGTTACTGGTAATTATGCTGTGCTCTTTCATAAAAAGATTTCCAAAGCAGTTGAGAATTAAAATGAAGTGGTTAAAACAGCAATCGTAACAGTAATACAGACACAGGATTATCCGGAACAAATATTGAAATCATTTGAAAGAGTAGAAAAGGTAAAAGGAGATGTGTTAATCTATGCAGGCAAAAAATCAGGAGGAATACGTTAGCACCTTTTCTGATTAACCAATTTTATTTAAGGCATGGGCTTTTCTGAGCTGTAGCTCACTTTTTCAGATGCATCCGATGAAATCTAATAACTCTGAATAAAAATGGTGGTCAAAATAGGTGCCATCAAACTCTCTTCATTTAAAAGCATGTTCCAGATTTTTTTTTTAATGTAAAACTGTCCCCCACCCTTTTTTAAATCCAAAAGCATTTTCAGAAACCTGTAGAAAGAGGGAAAACTGGTGTTGTCCTTTCCTATTCATCTTCAGTCAAACTTTCCTTTCCAAACACCATCCCACTTCTTCCCCACCAGTTGCCTTTTTACTCTTAAGGAGATAATTTGTTCACCTTTTCAACAAATAAGAAAAGTGAAATGCTTTCTATTTACTGTATATGTTGTAATTGTGCTGATAATTTCTGTTTTAAACATTGTATACTATTTATCTCATACATTTTCCTGGGGAAATCTAGGAACAAAATATACGCCTTTTACCTTCCCCACAAGAGATCTTTGAAATGAAAGTAACAATTCTGGGGAGATAGTATTTTTCAGGATAATGGCATAGAGAGAAAAAGTTAAATTCCTTCAACGTATATATATCCCATGGTTCCAAGACTGCATACATCTCTCAAGGCTTGCTATTTATATAACAAAAACTGTGCACTTTGGGGATATTAATAGTATCAATACTGCATCTAGCTTGATTGAAGGTCAGAATGCTCAGTGATATATAGATCTCTTCCTCCTTCATTTTTTTCCTACCAAAATAGTTTCTTCAAGATGCTGTTTGTAAATGAACTAGGGAAGTGTTCTCTAACCCTTGCGGCTTGGCGGACCGATAGAGGCAGCACCGGTGGTGGGAGAAGGGATGGTTTTGTGCACATGCATGTGCAACATTTTCACAAATGCAGTTTGGTGCACATATGTATGCATATACTCACCCACCATTTCTAGGGCCCAGTTCTGAACAGGCTGCAGCCCAGCATCAGGCCACAGACTGGGGGTTGGAGATCCCTGAATGAGGGTACCACATTTGGACTGCAAAAATCAAGGAGAACTCTGTATGGTAAAAAAACGTTACCATATCTTTTTTTTTTCAGTTGAAATATGGAAATCCTGTATGAATCTTCGGAATTATTCTACTCAAGAGAGTCTTCCTTCCCTAATCCTAATCCCAACCCACCAGTACAATCCACCAACAACTGGTATTCAGTGGTACTCTCCCAGTACTTTCCTAAGATCCTTCAAAAGTTATGAATATGTTGTTATAGGGCTACTGTGTCTCACAAACACAAAGAGTTTATGATTCTGAATATTAAAATGCACGTTACGAGAATAGAAATTTTATACATCTGCATAGAAGAATTGTTTTGAATTCTGATCATGTACCGCGCCTTATGCATTTTTAAACTTAGAACCATTGGGAGATAAAATTTTTGTCAAGGGTACTCCGCTAAAACCTCTACAGCAGGCATACAGAGCAGAATTATAATTTATAATTTAAAATTCATTGGCTTTTGCTAATTCTCCAGATCCAGCATACTTTCCAAGCTGTAATCACTGTGCCATATCACCATCTGGTGGCCGTGTGGGAGAATAAATACTAATTTAAATAATAATAATAATTGAGCACTGGGAAATTTCCATTACAAATCCTGTTGAAATGAAACATTTAGTTTACACTACAAGCTGTCATTTCTATAGGAACAAACTGGAATTATTGGGGTATGTAAAGCAACAGTGGTTCAGTTAACATGAAAAGCAGAATGATTATGTTTTAAATTATTTATGACTAAAAGGAACACATTCTAAGTTAGGAGAATGCATGTTTTCACTTAGTTGTACAGGTAGTTCTCGATTTATGACCACAATTGAGTCCAAAATTTCTGTTGCTAAGTAAGATATTTGTTAAGTGAGTTTTGCTCCATTTTATGCAATTGATAAGTCAGCAACCCGGTTGTTAAGTGAATCTGGTATCCTCACTGATTTTGCTTATCAGAAGGTCACAAAAGATGATCACATGACCTTGTGACACAGCAACAGTTCATAAATATGAACCAGTTGCCAAGCATTTGAATTTTGATCATGTGGCCATGGGGATGCTGCAAAGGACGTAACTGTGAAAAACGGACATAAGTCACATTTTTCAGTGTTGTTGTAGCTTTGAACAGTCACTAAATGAACTGTTGTAAATCAAGAACTACTTCTATTTACTTAGTTATATTTCCAGATCTTATGTGAACTTACTAACCATACCAGCATACAATTTCACAATGTCAGTCCAAGAAGTGGTAGGGAAGAAAAGTAGGGAAAACACCTGATTTTCTAAGATTACACATTTTAATAACCACATACCTGAAAGAGATTTATTGATACAAAATTTGGCCTAGCCCAGGGGTCCTCAACTGTGGCAACTTTAAGACTTGTGGACTTCAACTCCCAGAATTCCTCAGCCAGCTTTGCAATCTTAAAGTTGCCACAGTTGAGGACCCCTGGACTAGTCAATTAGTTGAGTTTTCTTTTTGGCTAACATACAGGACATCTGCTATAGATTTCTTGTGAAGCTATCAGTCACTCCTGCCCTGAAATCAACTTCCAGAGAAATTTGTGGTAGGAGACTTTCACAGTGCTAGTTCACTTAAAGTAAATTGTAAAATTACCCATATTGCTTTTTGACTCAAGTTCTAATCCTGTAGAAAAAGCACATTCCCATAAGCCACCACATCCAACCCTTCCTGAATTCTGTTGACTCTTATCTGGCTCATTTTATTGTTGATCTTTAGTTGACCCTCTTCTTCTGTAGAGGCTTCAGTAAATCTTCTATGATGCAATCTAATGGATGGTCTTGATTCTTGGCACCTCAAGAGTCCATCTCAATTTTATTATTATCATTCATCGCACAGTCAGCCAGATGTTCAGACTGGATTTGGCATTTTGTCTACCTATCGAGTCCTTACCCAGGACCTGGGATAGGCAGATGTGGATGTTTGATGGTATTACAGGTATCATCGCAGGATGGAAGCAGTTCCTATAAGGCCGCCTTTTGCAATTGACTAATAGCGAATTTATCAATGCCAATGGTGTTCAAGTGGTGCTCCAGTTGTTTTGGGATTGCACCCAAAGAGCCTATTACTATTGGTACTACCCTTGCTTGCTTTTGCCACAGTCTTTCTATTTCTATTTGTAGTTCTTTGTATTTTGTTATCTTCTCCAGTTCTTTCTCTTCTATTCTGCTATCTCCAGGCACTGCCACGTCCACTATCCAGACTTTTTTGTCTTTCTTATCGAAATTGTTAAGTCTGGGGTGTTATGTTGCAAGTGCTTGTCTGTTTGAATTCTGAAGTCCCAGAGCAGTTTAATTTTATCATTTTCTATGACTTTCTCTATTTTATGATCCCACCAGTTTTTGCTTACAGGCAAATGATATTTTTGCAGATCTTCCAATGCACCATTGTTGCTACTTTGTCATGCCGCTGCTTGTAATCAGTCTGTGCAATCTTCTTGCAACAGCTTACCAAGTGGTCCACTGTTTCTTCAGCTTCTTTGCATATGCGGCACTTACTGTCTGTTGCTGTCTTCTCAATTTTGACTTTGTATGCATTTGTCCTTAAGGCTTGGTCTTGTGCAGCCAGAATTAGTCCCTCGGTCTCTTTCTTCAATTTTCCTGCTCTTAGCCATTGCCATGTTTTATTATTATCTGCTTTCCCAGCTATTTTTTTTCATGTATTGGCCATGTAGTGCTTTGTCTTCCCATGCCTCTATTCTGTTCTTCATTTGGTCTTTTTTGTAGGCCAGTTTGGTCTCTCCAGTAGTTAGTAAGCCTTCCTGATATACTAATTTCAGTGCATCTTCATCATTGTTCTTCAGATATTCTTCCAAAGCCATTTTTTCTTCTTCAACCATCTGATGTACTTGTAGCATTCCACGCCCACCTATTTGCCTTGGTAGATAAAGTCTATCAATGTCACTGCGTGGATGAAGGGCGTGATTCATTGTCAGTATTTTTCTGGTCTGCCTATCCATTGCTTTTAGTTCTGCTTGAGTCCAGTCCACTATTCCAGCTGTGTACCTAATGACTGGGATTGCCCAGGTGTTGATTGCCTTTATGGTATTTCCTCCATTGAGTTTGGATGTTAAGATCTTCTTCACTCTCTTGATGTATTCACCTCTAATCTTTTTCTTGACTTCAGTGTGCTTGATGTTGTCAGCTTGAAGGATACCCAAGTATTTGTAGTATTCTTCCTCGTCCAGACTCTTAATGTTATTTTCATGGGGCATCTTGATTCCTTCAGTTTTCACTATTTTTCCTTGTTTTATAGTAAGTGTGGCACATTTGTCCAAGCCAAACTCCATTACAATATCTTGGCTATATATACGGACAGTGTTGAGCATCGATTCTATTTCAGATGATGTTTTTCCATACAGCTTCAGATCATCCATGTAAAGGAGGTGGGATAGTCTAGCAGATGTTTTTGATGTTTGATAACCATGTCCTGATTATTATTATTATTATTATTATTATTATTATTATTATTATTATTATTATTATTCCCTCTTTTTCTTCAGGATCCTACTGTCTGTTGAGATGCAGAAGAGAGTATAAACCAATATGATGTCACAAAAGCCTGGTGATGTCACAGGCCCATTTCAGAAGTGAGAGATCTGATTCAGTCCTTCATTCGCTCAAGGGAGTCATGAGGAGCAGAGCCTCCTATCAAATGGTAAAGGTGGAGAAGGGGTGATCTAATCCCAATGGTGTCCCTGGGGTGTACCATCTGCCTGTTGGCTGTGCTTTTCACAACACATCTCCTTGTCTACTCTGATGGCTTCAGAGCTGCTTTTCAAGCAACCACTAACAAATGGCAGGGAAAAGGTAAGTGATAATGCTAAGAGGTTTGGGAATTACATCCTGAGATAGAAAGTAGAAAAGCATTAGACATCCAAGGGATGATTAAATAAGTTATCCCTACTATTAAGCAGAGGCAGCTATCTCTGGTGGCAGAGGCTATTACAGTGGTACTTCCATACTAGTCATTAATTGGTTCCTGATGGCATGCTGAGTACTAAAAATAACAAGTATCAAACAAACCATGTGACTTAACAAGTGACCCTTTGTTTTGGTTGGAAATTGTAGTGAGTCACGAGGCTGCCGACACCAACAAGTTCCAGTTTGCGATGATATCAGGACAAAATGTTTGTGTCAAAATGCATTCAGTACCAAATTCAATGAATTTTAAAGCAGTCTGAGGTACCACTGTATATTTACCAGAGATACAAGTGCTTCAAAAATTATTCAGAAGCAGTTCCAGCTCAACATACAATTTGACATACAACAGCATGGCCTTAAAAAAAAGGTGTCACTGCTTTAAGAAATCAACTTAAAGGCATTTACTGCTGTAACATTTTTTTTTTCAGGATTGCAAAACAGTCTGAAAAAATGTTGAACTATCTTTAAAAACAGCAGTGAAGTAGAGTGTTCAGAAAAAGGGTGAAATTCATTTTGAGATTAATTGTTAAAGCACATACTGTCCTAATTTTTACTTACAAAAGAGTCAGTCCTGAATTCAAGGTGATCACTCCCCAAAAGAAACATTAAGCAGGAAAAATTATAAACAGGTAAAACTGTGTAGTCCCATCATCCCAAAACTGTGTAGTCCCACCTTGCCAATCCAGAGTCTACCATTCCAGCTGAAATGGTCCCTAAATGTTTTCCTTTCGTCAGTAAGTGCCATACATGTATATATCTGCCCCATACTGTATATCTTCCAGAATATATGGTCATATATGTATATATCTGCCAGAATCCAATCAGGCAGAGCCAAGAAAGTAAACAGGTTAACAATCAAGCACTGATTAAAATCAGATGCTTGTAAAATGAGATATACCCATCTGCATAGCAACCAGTTTTTTCTTACACCAAACCATTTTAACAGAGGAAAACATAAAAATATAATTTCAGCAGAGCTTGGTACTAGAGAAAGGGTTAAATTCGTCAGGCAAATAGCAACAACTCCTTCCCAAGTAATAGCTAATGGATGCCTGTGAACAGGGAGAACTATACCTCTTCCCCATTCCTTTGTTTTCCAGCAGGGGTTCCCAACCTTGGCAACTTTAAGACTTGTGGACTTCAACTCCCAGAATTCCTCAGCCAGCAAAGCTGGCTGAGGAATTCTGGGAGTTGAAGTCCACAAGTCTTAAAGTTGCCAAGGTTGAGAACCCCTGCAATTTTGTCTCCTAGCAGGGGTCCCCAACCCCTTGAGCCTTTCAGAACCAGGCTGCACAATTGATGGGCGAGCACGTGCTCACACATCCTCTCTTGTGCAAGTAGCACGCGAGCAAGGGTGTGTGCACGCACTCCATTTGCATGAATGGCAGATGTGCATGCCTGCTGCTCAGGCAAATGGAGCTGTGTGCATGTTTGCCCACCACTCGTGCAGAACAAACCCCTCCCCCCCCCACCAGTTTGCAAAGCCAGAAAGGTTGGGGAACTCTGTCCTATGATAATCTGTGAATGTGTGATGACCCTCAATTAAAAGGCAATTATTGGATGAAAAACTATTAGTGTATGGATAGCACCTCTTCTTCAGCTATTTCTCTCAGGTTGGCTCAGCGATTTTCTGCTGTGTTTTTCACAAGGTTTCCCCCATTAAACTAGCTGCTACATTCAGTTTTGACCAAGAATCTGTCAACCTTGTGAGATAATCCAGATAAGAAGCACATTCAGGAATATTAGGTGTGGCTTTATTGCAGGGGTCTTCAAACTTGGCCCTTTATGACTTGTGGACTTCAACTCCCAGAATTCCTCAGCCAGCGTAAAGACCCTGCTTTATTGCAAGGTTACATTAACAGAAACTTGCAAGTCTAAAAGTACATCTCTCACACCTGTCCTTTACAGTCCAAGGACCTAGGAATGGTCTTTTCTGAGATGTTTGCCATGTCCCCATCCTTCCGAGGGTTCAGCTGTCTCTTATCTAATCATAAGTGACTTCCACATACCATTACAGACTCTATCTCTTACTGCTATGGCAGTAATATACTATATCAGGAGCACAGGGGTGCGAATACAATGCTTCTCCTGCAGGAGCCAAATGCCTTGAGCCAGCCTGGTTATTGCTTAATTAATAGTTATTTTTATTATTAAAGACAAGCCCACATGAATTACAAGCTTCATCTCCAAGCCTAGGGACAAAATAGAATTGGAGAACTTCCAGGGACAGAAAGTATCAGAAAGTAGAGTTTCAACATTGTAGAAGGTGATTAAGGATAAGCATTAATTTTTCCACTTCCTCCTTTTCTCATTGGAATAGAAAACACTGATTTAAATTTAAATGATAGGGAACTTAAAATGGGGTTTCCTATTCCAATGTGAATGAAATCTACTTGTAGATCCTCACCGTGTTATTTAATACAACTGACAAACATCTGAGGTTTAGTTTCCATGCAATTTGTGTCAACAGAAGTAGCTAAGCAGAAAAGTGCTAGGTTCTGTACACATTATCGGTTGCAACAAATGATGTGGCTGAAAATTGTGGGAAGGTAGAAGTTCCCTAAGCAAACAAGCTTAGTAAGAATATAAAAGACTTAAAAAGAAATAGATCTAGTAATTAGGATTTCTTGAAGATTAACTTCATTATTCCAAAAGATGGTTCCATTTATGATACATTTATGATATATACAGATGTTATCATTGTTCCTAAGTTCAGCAAATAATACCCCCTTCTTCCTTAATTGAAAGATCACTGACATTCAGTCGGTGATGTCTTCTTATGAATGATGCCAAATGATAGTGTATCTCAGGTTTGTCCCTGCTGCTATTAACAAGCAGTCACTTCGGGAAATGGATCAGGATGGATGCAAATTGAAATCAAGCCTGCATATGCTACTTTTCCAATCCACTGCTTGATGTGTGCTCTTGTTAAAGAGTGCAGCTGATTTACTACATTACAGGCATCCTACTTGTACCTTATATGCATCAACCAGAGGAGTCTTTTAAGGGCTGTGTTGTGAATTGGTCATGATCTCCACCTGCACAGTCAATAGCAGTAGCTATCTTACAAAGGGTCATGGTAAAGATCCTTTCAAAATGATGTCTAAAAGGTAGATGGCCAATTGGACTGCTAGGACAGGAGTAGATAAGCTGGCACTGCCAGAGAAGGGGGCATATTTGGCAGCACAATGTAAGGCGCACTAGAAGCCAGGTTGGTGTTTCCCTTTATTGCACAGAGCAATGAGGAAGCATTCCTTGTTAATGGGAAGTCTGCAACCCGTTTTTATACACTTAAAGAGAAAAAATAAGTCCTTCTTTCCCCTTCACCCCCAAAATTTAAATTATTGTCAAGAAAATTAGACAGGAGATTGATTAATTGATGGATTAGATACGTATAGGATAGATTAATATTTTATTTTAATTAAGGGATATTAGTGGAAGAAGAATTAAATAAGATTTATGATAAAATTAAGGAACTAGAATATATTTGGAAGGGATACCCGAATTGATAATGTTTGTACTTAAAGTTAATTTGATTATGGTAGTGTAAATTTCTAAAGCTTTAAAAACAGGTATAGGTTGAATAAATTTAAGCCAGAATTGGACTATTTTAAATAAACTATGTTACCTAAGGGAAAAAGAGAGGGAATACTAGATGTATTGATTGAATTATGTATATATGTTTTGTCTTTGGATGTTTGACTACCCTAACACCACGGTGTGTCTTGAGCACTTTGTTTTAAAAACCAAAAAATCAATAAAATTTCTTCTAAAAAAAAAAAGAAAATTAGACAGGGAGAAAAGAAACATATTCTTATTATGGTTCTCCATTTAGGGGGGTCATTTGTATATACTGCGTTGCTATTAATGAGGCATCCATTCAATTGCATATTTTCATACGCAGCTAATCTTGCCCCAATTAGATACACATAACTGGGCATGACTATAAATAGATTGTGCAGAAACTCTATACAGCAAACAACTTGCAGCTTCTCATATCACCATTATGTTTTAACAACCATAATGTCTTCCTTGATTGTACAACATAGTCCTCCCCTAAAAGAAGAGGAGATATTTTGGCTACAAATTGGCACTATTAGCAGATCTATGTTATTTTAGATAATTTGCAAAATTATGTTTCCATAATAGGCTTATATTACATCTTTTGATGCTTTTCCTCACTGCAGTGTCCTGAAAATAATGAAAGACATCAAATCAGGCTACTGTGGATTGTTTGCCAGTTTTGGTAAATTTGATCAGTTTCTATCAGTCACTTCTCCTCCCCCCTCAGTGCAGTACAGGGGAAGAGAGAGTGCCCTAGCTGGGTAGAAAGAGATTGTCCTAGCTGGGCACATAGCAGAATCTGACTATCTTCTCCAGGGCTGTGACTTCCCACCTGATTCATGATCTATTACTTTAAATGCCCAAATCAGGAGGAGCAAGCAAAGTTCTGAAGATCCACCCTATTTCTACCATAGTGCCCTGATTACTGGAAGCTTTTCCTGCTGGCTGGTGATGTGCTGAAGGAAAAGGACAACAAAGCCAGAGGAGAAACCCAATCACTTTGCTTAAAGCAAGTAGGATACTTGCCAGTTTAGGATAATATCAGTTGGCAATTACTTTGAACAGAGGTAACAAAGGCAAGATAAAGATTGACAATAGGAATCGTATGCTGGCATTCTTTTGTATCAGCTCAATGAGCTATGCATATCAAATTCATTTAATATTGATTAAAGGCTCACATCAGAATCTTTCTTCCCAAAGGCTGGTAGGAAAACAGCCAGAGGTGCTGGCATAAATGATATTTTCTAGTTTATTATAGAGGTAGTCCTCGACTCATAACCACAATTGTGCCCAAAATTTCTGTCGCTAGACAAGATAGCTGTGAAGTGAGTTTTGCCCCATTTTACAACTTTTCTTGCCACTGTCATTAAGTGAACCGCTGCAGTTGTTAAGTTAGTAACACGGTTGTTAAGTGAGTCTGGCTTCCCCATTGACTTTGTTTGTTAGAAGGTCACGAAAGGTCATCGCATAACCTCAGGACACTGCAACCATCATAAAAACATGGCAGTTTCGAGCATCTGAGTTTTGATCACATGACTGGGGGATGCCGCAATGGTCTAAAATGTGAAAAACAGTCATAAATCACTTTTGAGTGACTTCAAATGGTCACTCAATGGTTGTAAGTCGAGGACTACCTGTAGTAAGATTAAGATGATAATCAGCCATAATAAAAGTTCTCCTGAAATCAATAAAGCTCATAGCAATTAAGTCCTGTGCTTCTTTTGATTTCCTTCAAACATTTCCACTTATTTAACCATCTCATAAAAACATTCAGGAGAGCTCTGTGAGGAGGTAGTCAGGCTAAAAACTACAACAGACCGACTGACTCGGGAGAAACAAAGGGCAAAATGGGCACTTAGGGTGAGGGAAAGAATGAAAGTCACAGAAAAGAGACGGTTGATTCCTGATTTGTATTTAAGGTGAGGGAAAGATGGAAGAAACATTTGTGGCTTCATCAACAGGGGAAGGCATGGAGGTGATCAACATGGCTGAGAGTGAGGACTCCCAACAGCTTGGGAATACAGCAATGAAGGACATCTTGCTGGACGTGGTCATCTCTCTGAACACTGCCAGTGTCGTGCTCTTTTTTTTATGCGTGACATAGAGCCAGAGGTCTTAGCAATGGTAATGGATGAAGACAACCTGAACATCTACTTCTGCTTCATGATTGCCTACTAAGCTGTGACCATCACTCGGACCCAGGGACCTCAGTACCAACTAGGCATGTCTCCACACCATGGCCCCTGAAAGGAGCAATAAACCTTTTAATCAAAGTTTGTAGAATGTGTTCTAAGCCAGAAATATGAATTCTGATCCTCACTGTTTTGCCCATTCTTAGATGTCCGTTTAGATCTTCTTGGATCTAAACATTTTAAGTAAACAGATAATCCCTCTATAATTTTTCTTCCTAGTCTCCAACATACTGTGAATAGAAAAACTCTCTATATCAGAGAGTTAAAAAAAAAAACACCAATCTGGATATTTCCTCAATATCTTAGTTTTCTATGCATAATTCCTTTTCATAAGAGGATCTCAGTCATTCCTTCTTTAATCTGAAATGGTGCATAGTCACCCTATGTTAAGCTGTTCTCAACAAAAAACATAGGAGCCCTTGTTTTGCAAACCTGAAAAATGGCTTGGTTTTATTTTTAGAATTATGGGGATTCCTTCTTACCAGTTGCAGACAACTGGAGAGGTTTGCCTTTGAATGACCCAGCAAGGTTGCAAGATATTTAATCTTCTCCTGGGCTTCACCTCCCAGCTAATTATCTATCAGCCTACCAGCAGGCACGGGTTCCTCCCTTTGTAAGGTTTTGAATCACCAGCAGTGCCCTGTCTGAATTCTAACCATTTAAGGTCAGCTGTATGGAGAAGATGAGCAGCATCAGAGGGGTAGGTTTCACAGGCATTATGCTATGGAGAGAAAAAAACTGATCCTTTCTGCAGTGAGACCTCTAAGTGCCATTTTTAAAGTGTGTTGTCAGGCAGGAGAGATCTATGAACTGCAACTGCACATTTAATGTAACATTGTGCAAGCATTTTTAACATACCACAGAGGCAACATTTTTTTACAGGTTGTTGCTGCTTCCTATGCTTACTCTCATCTTAATCCTTAGGAGCACCAAATGAACCTTAGAGAAATTGTGATCTTCTTCACAGGGTGCTCTGATTCTTGCTATACTTCATGGCACCATTGGGGGACAGGACCCAGACTTGTTTTTCTACCTTGTTACGTGGTAAATACATGTAAGATTCTGAACTTAGCTTTAAATGCAAATGATCTCCCAACATTTGCTCTTCTGTTGCTTTAGTTATTTCTCTGTTTTCTCTGAAAAATGTAATGCCTGTTGTACCGATTGGCAAAACTGTTTTTTTTTTTTTACATTGTGCTGTACTGCTCTTAGACCTCAATAAAGAGAAAAGATATTGTGCCATTCGAAACGACATACAGATTATGTCAATTTAATTGTGATTCAGTTTTGTGCCTTTAAAAGTACACATTGGTCTGTTCAGTTAAACTGGAAGAAAACTTTTCAGTGCTCAGGCTTGAACAGTCAAATTCAATAAGGAGAAACATTCACATTTTCTATGATTGGGTGGGGAATGATCCAATCACCTAAAATTTTAACAATTGTTCGATGGAACTCACATGCTTCTCTCTGGACAATAATACCACTGAGTTGCAAAGAGAAGTGCATGACACTTCTGGCTAATTAATTAGCTTTCAAGAACCATCTTGACATAAATTTCATTTTTAAAAAAAATAATAATCTTGTTGATAGAAAATCAGTAAAGAGTGGATCAGCTGTGACATTTAAGGAGTTGTGCTAGAACAAAGGATGGTCAAACATCTATGCTTTTAGGGGCTACACTCATCTGAAGAATGGCACATCAGTGACTAATTTACACAGCCTGTTCTTGAAAATAGCCCCATCTTAGTGTGAAAAGCCAAAGAGACAAGCTACTTCATTTTTGGCGCTTTGTTCCATTCTGTCTCTGTTAGGCTCTACTTCTGTTGCAGCAGACACAACAAATCCCTTTGCTACTTTCAACTGTCGTTGCCTCTGCTCCTACGCATCTACACTGATTTTGTCATTTCTAGTCCACAAGGATGGTCTTCGTAGTAGTATGTACAGATCTGAACTTAACTTCTTAAATAGGACTTGAGTTGGAAGAATGAGCAAAAAATTCTTAAAAGATGGCCATGAAAAACACATTAGAAGTTGCCATACTCCTTTTCTCAGAAAAGGTAGCAATCAACAGCATCAGTATGAAATATCTATGATATTTTTTAAGTGATGAAAAGTTAGTAGATCTTCAATGGGCCACATATGTTTGCATCAGAGTGTTTAGCCTAAGTGGTTAAGCCAGACATGCCAAACTTGTGACGTCGTCTGACGTCGCGCAACGTATGGGGACTTTTTCCCCATTGCCGGCGATGGGGTGGGCGCAGTTTTGGTGTGACGCATCTGGCCTGCGGGCCGGCATTTTGACATGCCTTGGATAAGCTATTACTTGGTCACTTCAGTGTTTGGCCTCCAAGTGAAAGAAAACAATATTTTTTTGTGGCTGCAGGCAGATAAAGCAAATATCAAGATTATATTATGTAATATAAATAATAAAATAAAATAACCGGTAATCAATATATACATTTATTTAAGATTAATTCAGGTAAAAAAAGCATAACTTACAGCATGGAATGAAGCATCAACGGATTGATAAACTATGGTTTTCTACCTGGGAATCAGAATTAGAAATTGTAATCTAAAATCATAATTAGAAGTGGCTTTTGCAATCTAGGAAGTGTACAACCTATATTGTGATATGATTCCTGAACAAAAACATAGCTGTGCTTATTGCTTTGTCTTTAGGGGCTATATCATGAAGATAAAAAACAAGTTATGATTTTTACTTATGGTTATTTGGGGACCATTTATAATACGCTATTATGGTGATAGCTATATTCTCCGTACAAAAAGTTCTTGAATTAATAGGAGATTATTGTGTAAAGGAGCAAGAATGATTTTTTTTCTTGCACAATTATGTTTCTTTAATTTTGCATGGCAAGTCAGCCATTAACTTCATTCTGAATTGATTCAACCCAAACACAAATTTCTCACATTGATCATGGATTGAATTTTAACTGACATGAATACTTTAGTTAGTGGATATTGAATCTTCCAGTTTCTCATCTCAGAGCTTCAAGTTTTGCTTCTCCAGTCTTTCTTTTGTCTGTTTACAAAATGCTTTTTACAAAATGTGTTTTAAAAGTAGTAGAGAAGTTCCACAGTGCAGGATGTTCCCTTCTTTTCCATCTTGATAAATGCATGGAAACTTCTTTCGCACTGACAACTGGAGAGTAAGGGAAGAAGCACCTGTGTCATGAAGAAATGGAATATAGCCTTGCAACAAGTACAATCAACATACTGAGCCATGACTTTATAGCCCCAGTTTCTGTTTCTTCTGCATTAGCTCTCCCATGTGCTCTTGAGAATGTCTCATCAGATGTGGCACTTAAGAGCTGGATTCATTGGCGACTCACTTGGACATTGGAAATGTCTAGAGAAATCCTGGCTGTTGCTTAAAGAACCAAGCACACGAAGAGGAGAGGGACTGTGAGGATCCCTGTGTAAGAAGGCTTGCAGGCTCTCAAGGCTCTGGCGCCCACACATGGCCTGTGGAAAACAATGCAAGGTTGGAGAAGAAGGTTAGCAAAGCAAACAAAATAACTGCACCCTAGTACAAATATTGAGAGAAAAAGTCATTCATGTTGGAGAACTTTTGAGAATAGAGAAAAGGTATGCAAAGAAAAAAATGACATATACAAGTAGTCCTCGACTTATTGTCAGTGCTGATAACATCAGATGCCCTTACTTTGACAAGAGATGGAAATGTAGCCATCTTTTCTCTATCGCTTTTAGAGTTTGTTGATGCTGGGAGGGGGAATATGGATGAGAGTCCAGCTAGTCATCACAATAATAACTCAGCTGTGGGAATCCAAGGTTATTGCACCCTGAGTTGATAAAGATTTGGCGGGCTGGAGAACTGAGGAGAAAGTCCATGCTTCAAATTAATTGGGAAATGTGATTTATGACTGTTAATTGGAGGAGGGAATTGTGCTTTACTACTTTGTGCCAAGGGGAGGAGAATTCAGTTTTGGGCTTTAACTATGTAGTGCCGATACTTTGTTTCTTGAATAAAAGATTCTTTAAGGTAAACAATGCCTCAAAGTTCTTTTGAAGAGTTTCACCTGTCGGAACCATGACACTTACCACAGTTTGTTTAATGACCATTCAAAGTTACAATGGCCCTGAAAAATATGTCTTATGACTGTTTTTCACAGTTACGACCTGCAGCATCCCCACAATCATGTGATCAAAATTCAGATGCTTGACAACTGGTTCATATTTACGACTGTTGCTGTGTCCCAAGGTCATGTGATCAATCAACTTTTGTAACCTTCCGACAAGCAAAGTCAAGGGGGAAGCCAGCTTCACTTAACAACCGGATTACTAACTTATTAACTGCAGTGATTCACTTAACGGCTCTGCAAGAAAGGTTGTAAAATGGGGCAAAACTCACTTAACAAATGTCTCACTTAACAACAAACATTTTGGCTCAATTATGTCATAAGCTAAGGACTACCTATACTCCCTCATAATATTTAGGGCCACAAAGTAGATGATATTATTACTTATCATCATTATGATCATCATTATCATCAATCAGGAGTTCAGTAATACAGATTTCTTTCTATGAGTACTTAACTCCTATTTGATTCAATAACATGGACACATGATATGACACGCAGTTAGGTCTTTCTCTAGCCAAATTTGCAGCTTGTTGATCTGTGTGGTTCAAACAGAGGAAAGTCCTTTGAAAGTGAAAAGGAAGATCACTGTAATGCTTCTCTTGCAACTAGCATCATATTTTCATGGTACAGTTATTGAGCTACAGATGTTCTTGATATGACTTAAGGGAAAAGAGCTACACAGTATTGCAAGAAAATATAAAAGCGGTAGGTAAAGTTGCAAAAATGTAAAGGATTGTCTTAAAACTAAGGACAAGTCAAAGCAAACTAAAAGCACCATGAGGGTAAAAAAGAAGGATGAATTACATGGGCAAAGCTGACAAAGAAGAGTTGATGGTGTGAGAGTCCAAGCTTAGGTAAATTTGTTACCCTTCTGTGCTTTGCAGACCAGTTTTCATAAGCCTGTGAGGAAAAGAAAGAAAATTAATAAATGCATTTTATACTTTGGCTATGATGTTAAATGAGAAAA